ACTGGTACGTGTTGGGCTCCTCCAGGCTTGCCCTTCGTCACCAGTTCTGTTCATAGTTTTTATGGATAGAATATCTGGGTGTAGCCGAGTGGTGGAGGGTCTCCACTCAGGATTTCATTTTGGTTTTTTCATTTTTTTGCAGATGATATGGTTGTGTTAGCTTCATCGGGTGGTGACCTCCTCCCTGCACTGGAGAAGTGTCCGGCTGAGTGTGAGGCAGCAGGAATGGGAATCAGTACCTCCAAGTCCATAGTTTCTCAGCTGTAACAGGTGAGGAACAAGTTACTGCCCAAGTGGAGTACAAATATCTCAGGGGCAATGCTCCCTCGAATGTTTCATGTGTGTGAGCGAACACACAAACTCCCTGAGCTTGGACCACTGTGAGCGACAGCAGACGTGTGCACTGTGCACTACAGTTAAATAAGTAAATAAATGTGTGAGATTGATCAGTAAGTAAAAACTTTAAAGTAATCAGAATATCTTTATTTTCTTTGTAACAAGTACAACAAAGTGCAGTCCCTGCAGGGTCACGAAGAGAAGTTTAAATAAAATTACAAAAGAATAAAATAAAAAAAGGAGGTATGTTAAAGCGTTAAACGTTGTCATTTTTATGCTTACCATCGCTACATTGTTTCAAACTGTAGGATCAAAGACATTCCTTTGTCTATTGTATTGTAACAGTTTGTCAATAAATAGCTGCAAGGTGAGCTGCTCTTTGAAGGACTTGGTCTGGAGACAGGTGAGGAGCATTAAGCTCCACAGCCTGGTCCTGACCGAGCTCTCCCTCGTTAGCGAGTAACAGAGCGGTTGAAGATGTTCTGTCTTGTTTTCGTTCTTCATGAGGAAAAAGTCTCTAAACTTCTGGGTCTGTGGAAGCGCAGACTCAACAAGGTAGATCACAGTCACTCAGTGTAATAAATAAAACCTTATTGCACATATAACACTCTTGCACAGGATGTCATCCATGGCACTGTACCCGTCAGGTTGGAGGTGACCACGAGCCATTCAAAACACTTTATCAGCATTGTTGTCAATGTGACGGGATGCTATCATTCAGACAGGATACAACTGGTTTCTTTGCTCACAGCACTGCTGATGTTTCCTGTCTCACAGAGGTGTGTTTCGCAGTCTCATCGTCTGCACCTAAAGCTGCATCTGGGGCTGTCAGCAGTGAGCGCAGGTTTCTCGTCGACACATGCAGTGATGGTCTCACAGTGGCATCCTCTGAGATGCAGCAGTGCAGCTGGTTACTGCCTCCAGCAGGCTGCACCTCTCTGGTCCTGTGTCTGGCCAGTCACACCTG